AGAGGCAGAACTCTCTCTGACTGCTGGTTGAGGAAGATGTGCTGCTGAAAGAGACACGTGCTGCTGGGAAAGAGATGCAAGAGACACGCATTGCTGAGTAAGACACCGAGGGACATGCACTGCTGGGAGAGAGACTGTGAGAGACTTGGCTGAGAGACGGTGGGCTGGGAGAGAGACTGAGCATTTTTCCTAAACTTCAATTGTAGCCTGGTGCTTCCCTAATAAACCCCATAATCTGTGAGTTCTGTGTGGCCACTGCAGTGGATTATCTAACCCAGGAGAGAGGTGGTGGGTGCTTTGGGAGGAACGGTTGGAGAAAGGGCTAGAGGGAGGCAGCATGTCTGGCCTGGCAGGAATATGCCTTGGGCTATTGATGGTGATTCTGTCTTCCTATTGTGGGATTAGAGAAGGTCAGAACATGTGGCCTCCTTGTCTTTTTTTGCACAGGGTCTATATGTATAGTTGCCATTTATGTTGTTGAAAAAGGTATTTGCAATGAATAAATTGTTGGCCTTACAAAATTCTATCATGCAATCTCCAGCATCATTTCTATCACCAAGATCATACTTTCCAACTACTGATTTTCTTTGTTTCCAATTTTTTACAATGAGACTGCAAAAGTTGGCAAAAATCTTCAATTTCTTCATGTTTGGTATTAGTAGTTAGTGTGTACATTTGAATGATAGTCATAATACCTTTGTATTAACCTTGTGTTGTTGTTGTTATTATGTGCCGTCAAGTCAGACCCGACTCATAGCAACCCCTCCTTGGGTTTTCGAGGCAGGATCACTACGGAAGTAGACTGCCCAACCTTCCTTGCGAGGAGTGGCTAGTGGGTTTGAACCGCCAGCCTTTTGGTTAGCAGTCATGTGCCTTAGGCACTACCTAATGCAACCAGAGCGCCTATTAATCTTGTAGGTGTATGAATATTATCCTATCACTGACAGTGCTGTACTTTAGGCTGGACCTCGAAATGTTCTTTTTGATGATGAATATGATGCCATTCCTCTTCTTTTGTCATTCCTGGTACAGTAGACCATATGATTGTCCAATTCAAAATAGCCAATACCAGTCCATTTCAGGTCACTAATTCCTAGGATATCTATCTATTATTTTTGACAACTTTCAATTTGCCTAGATTCATACTTTCCATAGTCCAATTATTAATGGATGTTTGCAGCTGTTTCTTCTCATCTTTCGTTATGCCACATCATCAAGTGAAGGTTCTGAAAGCTTTACTTCATTGATGTCATGATTGACTCTATTTTGAGTTGGCAGCTCTTCCTTGGTCAATTTTGTGTGCCTTCCAACCTGAGGGGCTCATCTTCTGGAACTATATCCGACAATGTTCTGCTGCTGTTCTTAAGGAAGAAGGATTTGGTGACCTATCTTTAAAATTTGCCCAAAGTTAGGCAGCTATTAAGTGGTATAACTGGGATTCAAACACCAGGTGATCTCAACCCAATGTCTTAAATCTTTTCAATCTTTTGCATTTCATGTAAAAGATGCTTATGAGGGAAATGTTCATCTTTTTATATCAATCTTGTCTCATAAATTTTCTAAGATTTTTTGACTTAATGTTTAAAAAACACTGAATAAAAAATTTTGCCTTTAAAAGAAAAAGAACAAAAATTAAAAAATGAAAAAAAAAAAGGACAATCAAAATAACAACAACAACAGCAACAACAACAAAAATACAGTGTAACTTGCAAAAGCCCAAACTTGTGTAAGGTGGATTCTTGTCAGTGAAGGAAAACTCAAATATTTTCCCCTAAAACAAACAATAGAAAAGTGGTAAGATTGCAGCCTGTCAAAAGCAGAAAATTTGTGAGACCCAGGAAAACAAGGCAGCACCATCAATTCTAGCTGTCACAGATTACACTGTATATGGAAAACAAACATTGATGCCTCTTATTAATCCAAAATACACAGGTTATTAGAAGTAATTTACTGAGCTACATATTCATAATCTATCAGCTGCATATCTACAACTTAACAATGCAAACCTAAATTAGCAAAACAGACCTCTTCTGAGTACTTCCTCCTATCAGCCCAATTCTAGCAAATTCCTCACTATTAGATCTGTTCAAACCAGGCAGTTGGGAGTCATTTGAAACTCTGGGATTTTACATCAAATCAAATACTTCCTGCCTCATTTCTCTGTATGACTTAGTTTGGCTTCCATCTTTTCACTGTCTTCTGCTTTGAGTCTTATTCTCCTAATAGTTTGCAGTCATGTTGTTTTTTGGAAAATCCAAATTTGATCATATTGGCTAAAATCCAAGGACAAAGTGAGAAAAATCTCATCAGCGACCCTATACCTCAGTTGGTTTCGTGTCTTTTACCTTTTCCCTCTTCCTGTGCCTGCCACCAGCCTGAAGAGTTTGAGAATACCTTGCACTTTAGGCCTATCAGAGTTGCTACACTGTAACTTTACATCAATTGCACACCTTTACCCTTGGCCCATCTGGTCCTGTCTCCTGGGATACCCTCGTATATAATGTGCTTCTGGTGACTTTCTTGTCATGACTCTTGACCTTCCCCGGGTCCTTCTCTGCATGCTGCCCCCATTACACTGTTGATGACCCACTTCTCTGCAGTATACTCACTACCAGGAGTCCTATCTCTGTCCACCCACTTGTGGATGAGCTCTGTGATAGGAGAGGCCCTCTTCTGTTCATCTTATATCTTTATAGAGTAGGAAGTGGATATATGAATGGTTTTATAATCAGAGCTACATTACACTTAATTTTGAGACCAACTTAATATCCCAGATTTTAGATTTGAAGACAGTAAAGATCTGAGGTTAAAACTTGCCCAATTTCACTCATCTAATCAAATATATAAGAAAGGACCAAGAAACCTCAGTATCATACTAGTTATGCTCTTAGTATATAAAGTAAAAAGATCTTTAAAAATATTTTGTTCAGGTGCCTGATTACCACTACTGACTGTTCTGATTAGGGTCACAATAGATACACCCTGATCAAATGGGAGAAAAATGTGGAACAGAATTCAAATTTTTAAAAAGTCCAGACATATTGGCTCAGTTGAAACTTGAGGACTTCCTGAGACTACTGTCCTGAGATACTCCTTAAACCTTGAACCACAACTATCCCCTGAGGTCACCATTTAGTGAAATAAGAGATTAGCACATGAAATAAAGGATATTATTTTTTAAAAAAATCTATGTGAGACCAAAAGGTCAACAATTACTCTGAAGTAAAGATAAGAGGATAAGAAGATACTAGAGCACTGGAAACAGAATAGCCAGAACGCAAATAAAAAGAATATTGACACATTGTGAAAAATGCAACTAATGTCACTAAATAATTTATATAGAAATTGTCAATTAGGAAGCTAATTTTCTGTGTAAACTTTCATTAAAAACACAACAAAATATTATTAAAAAGTATTTTGTTCAGAATAAAATGATAATTATATTGAAAGAAGTGCCTGTCTGGTATGTCTTTAGACAATGTTAGTAGTAAAGTGCATACACCCTCCCTTCTTAAGAATCTGATGAACTCTATGGATACCTTTCCTAGAAACTTGCACAAAATTTTTCACCAATTTTAGGGGGCATTTGCAGACTATGTATGGGACTGTGATCAAAATCTGCTGCTGTAAATAGTGGATGGAATAATTCTCTATATTTTGGAATAGCTATAATTGTGCAAATGGCCCCTTTGGAGAAAACCATTGAGTGGTCACACACCTCTTTAGGAGAAAGAATAGAAATATAGTCTTCATATATTATCCTTGCTTTCTCTTCAATCATGTTTTTATTAGCTTCTTTTTTCAATTCCTCACAAGCCATCCAAAACAGCATATTTTCTTCACTGAATTCTGTTCGGAGGAATTCACGGAAAGTATTTCGTCCTGCTGGAGTGACCATTAACTTGTCGAAGGACTGGGCCCAGGTGCTGACTTCTTCCAGCGTGGGGGTCACACTTAGTAGACCAAGAGAAAAGGGGGAAATAGAACCATGTTATTGGAAGTAAATTTGAATTTCACCCCTAGAAAGAAGTATAATTTCCCTTCTGAGAATGAAAAATATATGCACTGTGGCCCTCTTAGGAAGAAAAAGAGCTCATAGCTTTAATCTTTGGGCAAAAGCAAATGATGCTTTCAAATTGTTTAGCTGGATTGCATGGCCACTGCAAAATGCTGGAAAACCAAGATGCTAGAATAACAAAGAACCTACTGTTTACATCTAGACACCCTTAACAGTATTTTTAAATTATAGAAGTTAAGAAAAATCCTACACTCACCCAACCAACGCCTCCCCCAATCACCTATGTCAGAACAAAGTCAGACTTAACAACACGACCCTCTAGAGCAATAGCGTGGCAATAGGTATTTAGTGTGTGTGTTTAAAATTATATAATGTTTAAGAAAGCAAAAAGAATGTATGTAATATAAATGCCAGTTATAAAGAGTAACTACAAAATGAATATCTGTGAATTAGAACATGACTGACAAAGTTGCATTTACCTGTGAACTATTTCCACACACATCCCTCCTTCTACCTCCCCTCCCCTGCTGAAGAAACTTCCATACTCGATTTTGTGCTTACCATTTTTCAGTTTATGATTTAATTTTTCACTTCTATTTAAGATTGTATTGAGGTAAGAAAATCTAACAGCAATACTTATTGTCCCTTTCCCTTTACTCCCTTTTCCGTAATTTTTACATATGTATCTATCTCTGAAGAATGTATTCTTTAGTTTTTTTCAAACATTTTTCAAACATTATAAATATAGCTTGCTATACCTTTTTTTTTTTTTCCTGCAACTTGCTTACTTCACCCAACATTATGTTTCTAAGAGTCACCCATGTTGTTTTATGTACCTTCAGTTCCTGAAAGAGATTTGCCTCTAAATTTCCATTCTTATACAATCCTAGTCAGGTTTTGGTCTTTCTGTTATATTGGCCTTACAGATATCTGGATCGGTATATAAGAATTGTACAATACTGGAGTGATCTATTTGGGAATGTTTTGTAGAATTAGCCTGTAAAACCAAGTGGATCCAGTGCTTATTTTGTAGAAGGTAATTAATTATTGATATAGTTACTTTAGTAGTTATAAGATTATTCTGACCCTTTATTTCTTCTTGAGTCACTTTTAGTAATTCCCTGCTTTAGGAATTTGTTCAGAGTGTCTAAATTATTAAGTTCATTGACACAAATTATTCCTAGTATTAAATTATCAATATCCAGTGGATAGCTATTATTTTCCCTTTTTCATTTCTAATATTGCTTAATTGTGCCTTCTCTTTATTTTTCTTAATCAATCATAGCAGAGGATGTCAATTTTTAAAGTCTTTTTAAAGAGTCAGCATTTGTCTTCATTTTCTCCATTTTATCTTTATTTTCACTTCATTTATTTCTGTGCTTATTCTTAAGTTGGCTGCTTAGCTCATTAGTGATCAGTCTTTCTTTTCTAATATAAACAAACACTTAAGGCTATACACTTTTCTCTGCTTACTGCTGTTTCTGATTCCCACAAGTCTGATAGGGATCAATTTCATGTAGATTGGTTATAAATGTTTTATTTATTTATTTAAAACCCTTATAATAATTCTTTTTTCTCTCACCTAGGAGTTATATGGGAGCTCTGGTGGCATACTGCCTAAAGCATTTGACTGCTAACCAGAAGGCTGGCAGTTCAAACCCACTAGCCACTCCTTGGAAGGAAGGTTGAGCAATCTACTTCCATAGTGATCCCATCTCGGAAACCCAAGGATCTGACTGGATAACAGTGAGTTAGCTTTTAGAGGAGTTACGTGGAAGTCTTTTTAAAATATCAAACATAAGAGAATTTTCACTTTGTTTTAAAGTTTTACTTCCATTTTAATTGCATTAAAGTAAAAAAAAAAAACCTGTTGAATAATAATCCTTTAATTTTATTGAAACAATTTATGAAGTGATACTTAGATTCAGTGAGTATAGATAGATCCTGTTTCAGTATAGCTGTGTGTAAGTGAATGGAAAATTCCTTTGAGGAGATACAAAAAATTGTTGATGGCAGTTATCTCTGGAGATTGGGATGTGGTCTGGAATAAGAGAAAGAACCGGGTTTTTACTGTAAAACTTTGTATTACAGTCATGTACCTCATAATATCCATTAGGTTAATGTCAGACTACATATATATCTGTGGTCCCATAAGGTTGAATATAGTTCAGCAACCCTGAACAGAGAGTAGGACGCAGCCAACACATGTATCTCATGTCTCTTGTATACAAAGCAATTGCACTGCCAGGTGTATAATAGTATACTACATATATAACATATAATACATATGCCTTGATAGTCAAATAAATGCCTATGTTACTGGCTTAACTGTACTATACTTTCTCTCTCAAAAGTTTATCATATAACAATGTATGCTTCAACTCACAGGCAGCAGCATCCAAGCTCATGTATTGTGTGTCTCGAGTGTTTTGTGTTATCTCTCTGTTTAATTTTCTTTGGAAAATATTCTGTGAAGTGCATTATGGCTCCCAAATGCAGCAAAACCAGTACTAATGATAGCAGCAGCAAGAGGCAAAGGAGGAATATTAATTTGAAAATGAAGCTAAAAGTTATTAAATAACACAAAGGTGGAAAATCAATGAATACTATTGCTTGAGATTTTAGCATGTTGTACTCGGCAATCATGACGACTGTCAAAATAAAGAAAAAATTCCCAAGTTGTTGAAGAATAGGCTCCACTGAAAGCTATAAGACTAACAAAAATGCGAGAGGGACCAACATCAGTTAGAGAGAAATTGTTAATGATGTGGTTTGAGGACCAAACACAAAAACAAATTCCTCTCAGCGCTGTTGACGATCACTGTTAAAGCATAAAGCTTGTTCAAGATGCTTAAAGAAAAAGCAGGACTAGAATATAATATGGTGTTCACACAATGTCCAAATCACATAGCATTCTATTTCACTGAACATATTTGTAGATGTTAAGTGATGCATGACTGCATTTGATTTTTGTTTTTATGATGGGCCTATGAGTTTTTCATTATGAAAAAAGTATTACATATGAAAAACAAATTACTGATTCTAACTCTGTTCTAACCACCAGCTGTTAGGCTAGTAGCACTTAACCAATGCACCACTCAGAGACAGTATCAAAGCTATAGCTTTGAGCACACTGAAATATATAAGATACAAACTCTTTGTAAGAATTAAAAATTATGTAATATTTTTATATGCTTCCTAGACTTCAAAAAAATCTGGGTAAGGATAATTAAAGATTAAGAATGAAGAAAAATATTTATTTTTTGTACTATTAGATTTTCCCCTCAAAAATAAACAATTTAGCATAAAGTGTTTTAGTAAGGCTTTTAGGATATTTACCTAATATCTGTAATTTTATAGGTTATTATAATATCAAGGTATAGGTATAAAAATAATTAAGTGAAAGCAAATCAATTGATAATATGAAGGAAAAAGACAATTTAAAAATTTGGCATTATGGACAATAATTTTATGTATTGTTTCTTTTAAAACTTTTTTCAAAATAAGAGATTAAAAAAATACATTAGCCATTTAGTATAAATTTACAACTGAAAAACAAATGGGCATAAATTTTCTTTAAAACCAAGTATGTGTATGTTTCATTGTGGTCTTTTATTCTAAAAAAACATACTATGTGAAAATGAAATATATGTTTTGTCAAGAAGTATCAACTTTTATCTATGACTAGCAAAGAGATTGGATTAATAATGGGACTGATTTTTCTCTCTGTCACACAATGATTTAAAAGAAGCTTTGAAGCATGGGAAGGTGTGTCCACATTATATCTGATACTATTAAACTGCAGTTAGAGCAACAGTTCTGTTGAAACATATAATGCAAAAAAATTAAAAATAAAATAAAAAAAGATTGGTGTTTCTTTCACTTTGGTGACCTTAGTAACATGAGGTTTCACCTTTCTTCACAGTTCGGGAGGCCTTCTGTTCTGAGCTCATGGGAAGGTCTCCTGGGTCTCTGATCTTCTTGGTTTCTGACAGTGAGACTGAAAGAAACAAGACATTCTCATGTCAAATGAGATCAGTCTGTATCAAGGAGAGAATTTATATAAATATTTTAAAGAACTTCTGATTCCCAAGTAGAATTTATTCTTCTTGAAAAAAATTGGCCTTGACTGATTTTCTTATATGACAGTAAGGTAACTTTGCAAAATAAATTAAATTTATAATATTGTGCATACAGTAATTGAAGAATGGTTAGAAATTATTATTTACACTTGGGATAACATTTTTTTAAAACAACTTTCACTGCTAGAAGGTTGCTAAGCAGTTTGAGGAAGATTCATACAAGGGCTTAGAACAAGGCCAAGGGGTTACAGTGAGATTGAAAGTAACAACACATTCTCATGTCAAATGAGAATCAGTCTGTATCAAGGAGATAATTTATATAAATATTTTAAAGAACTGCTGATTCCCAAGTAGAATTTTTTTTTTAATATTGTGAAAATTTTATTTTTTAAAAGCCAAGATAACCCTATGGAGCTCAGTTATTCTCTGTAACACCGAACCAAAACCAAACCTGCTGCCATCAAGTTGATTCTGACTCATGGCAACCCTGTGGAACAGAGTAGAACTGCACAGGGTTTCCAAGGCTGTAAATTTTTTTTTTTTTTTAAATTGTGATTTGGGTGAAAATTTACAGATCAAATACAATTTCCATACAGCAGTTTACATACACTTTGTCTCATGACATTGACCACAATTTACTACAATGCAACATCTCACCTCCTACTTCCTCCTGATAGTTACCTCTTCCTTGTGTCCATCCCTCCATGCACTCCTGCCCCCTGAGCTGTCTCCCTGTGCATAAGCAGCCCTTCTTTCTCCCATGATTGTTCTCTCCAA